GAGCTCATCTCCAAATCCAGTCCAAATCCATATCGCTGGTATTATCGGTGTCTCGATGCGGCAAAAAGGAGGGCAACGTCCGTTTAGCTTTAGTTATCGAAGGGTTGTTCTCTTAAATATTTTGAACAAAATATTGGAACGTTGTAGCTCGAGAACGACGATCACATCTTAAAATGGGTCGACAAAACTTTCACCAATGAGATTGAACAGTTAAAGTACCAAGTTCGAATGCTAAAAAAAGAAGTTCAATTGCTCAAAGCAACGAGAACAATAAGCAATGAAGGTCCCAAAATAATGCCTAAGATAATGATATCATGATGTTGTGTTGTTAGTATCATCATTGCCGTTGTAGTTCTCGGTTGAATTATGATGTACAAGTTATTCCTAAAGCTAGTGACTTTGTCAAACATTCTGTTTTGTCTAAGTTTTTTTTGTAATTTATGTGTAAGTTAAATATTATGTTTGTCTAAGTTTTTCCTAAGTTTTTCCTAAGTTATGCGAACTTAAACTACTACGAAGTATGGTCATTTGTAAAAGTTTCTCAAATATTTACGATATTGGAAAATTGAGAAATTGAACATAACACAAAATTTGACCTGGGTATACGAACACCAACTTTCAAGTTAAGTTGAACTACTAAGAACTTTGGTAAACTTAAAAGTTTCTCAAATGTTTACGATGTTGGACAATTGAAAAATAGAACCTAACACAAATTTGACCTGGTTATAAGAACACGGACTTCATATTAAATTCAAGTTATTCTTAGGTTCACATACTTGAACAATTACAAAAGTTAAGAAAACCATTTTTAATACACATTAACGCAGTTCAACATCATAAAACCAGTTCAAAAACACTAATACATTAGATAAAACTTTACAAAGGCCCTATAGCTCCGTACTTCCGAACATAAGGGTCATTGTTATTGACCAATTATCTGAACTCCTCTACCTCCGACAAGCGCGGATTGAACCTGAAGTCAGATAAGTTCCTCTCGGTCTGAAGCCATTCTTCTATAGGACCATAATAAGTTGTATAGATGAGTTTAGAGAAGGTTTTAGTCAACTAACACATTTAAACCTGAACACATAAGCATAAAATTCACTTACCGAAATAGTCGTGGACCCTCCACATCTTAAGGACCACAATCACGTGTCGACGACCTTCCCTGTTTTCAAACCCTTCTTGGAAGGCATAAGCTTGTTTCCCAGTTGCCACACATTTTATATGACTCTCACTATGATGAATAAAACAAGGTGAGTAAATTACACTAATTCAAAACATTTTGTTTTGATCATATGTTACTTAACACTTAGATGTTGTCCCTTATGTGAAACACCATCTTTGGTCCTTCAGGATCATCCAAATAGGCTTCCGTCTTAAAGACCACTCTCATTGTATCTACCAGATAAGTATATTCGATTCCGTTACTTACATATGAAATATATTTAGTAGTTAGAATTCATACCTATGGGAAAATTTCTCTCCTTGTAGCTCATGTGAGGGATTTCATGAATGCCTTTGAACTGAAAGTAAATCTGATCATTCAGAGGATCAATGACGTGGATTTGGGTATCGCCAGTAGCAGTTAGTGTGAATTTGGATTTTTCTGCCATGAAACTTGAATGGGTACGGCCAACTTCTACAATAAAGATTTTCACCCATTTTCCCTCTTGTTTCTCTAGGCATCTAAACCTATCTCCATATATATCATAGAAGGTCATCTCCATCTTGGTTCCCTGCAAAAATTAAGTTCAACGAGCGAGTTTATATTTTCCATTGTTGTTATTAGAAACTTGAGAGATGATGATTTTGTACTTACATGTTCATCTGCTAGGACATAAACATGGTGTGGTTCTTTGCCGGTATATAGGAATATAAAGGATAGATCCTTATGATTTTCACTCTGAAACGCCAATGCTTGACCATCTCGTTATAAACAACTTCACCAAGAGTATTGTAGTGTTCCATATTTGAAAGATGATGAATTATTTCTTTGCGGTGAAATGTGTTTAGATATAAAGGAGACGATTTAACTTAGCTTACTGCGGTGGAGTGGAGATTAAATTGAGGGTTTCTAAAATTGAATGCAAATGTAATAATAATCTGCTTTAGTGTTCTGGGATTTAAATGAAGTGTAATGATGATCTAAGGCGAGTGTTAGTGTGAAAATTCGTGTCTTTTTTACTGTACTCAACTTGTTGTGTTGGGGTAATAAATCTGAAAATTATGGAGGGGAAGGTATCGTCTGTCAAATCACTCTTAAATGGAAGAGTTACAATTTGTAGTTGGGGTAATAAATCATTATTACACAAATTAAATTACTCTTCATTTATTATCCCATATATTTATTACTGAATAATATATTTATTTCTTAAAGGTTTACATAGTTTCATATATTTAGACTATCAAAATTGTTAACTATCTAAATTGTTAAACGTTTTCTTAGTTTCATATATTTAGACAAACTAACTAAGCGGTTTCACTTAGTTTTAAAAAGTTATTTATTTTTATCATTAAAATTTTTACAAAGTTTTGAATCCAATGCATGCGACTGTTGCAATCAGAAGTCGTTCCTTCTCGAGACCTCCATCAAATCACCCTTAACTGCCGTGATAAATACAATCTTATCTCTTCTCCACTTTTGAGGATCATCGCTATTATAAAAGGGTTTATCATTTTGTCCAAATAAATAAAACGTTAATCTTTCTATTTACGTGATAAAACAAATATCTCACCATGTAGAACTCTAACTTGGGTTCTCTCCCTCCTTCCATGCTTCATAAGATTCTCTCTAAGGTAGTAGCAAACAATCTCCGGGACTTTGGTAGTGCAAGAGTTTCATTACCCGCCTTCAATCAAATTGGCAGAGAAGAATACTTCTACAAATCTGCAAATCTTATTCACTTCAATGACTGGATTGATGAGGTTAATGCTGTCAGAACATACATGCTTAAGTGCTACCAAGCCGGTAATCCACAGGCCATCTACAAGCGAGGTATGTATGAGTTCTTTGTCCTCCATTTACTTGATCAAGGAAGGGAAAAAATTCGTCTTACTGGTTCACAACTTTCCTACTTTTACTCATGAGTTTTCTGATCAGATGAATCACATGCTCGCTACTGAGGTATCCTCAGGTCATTGGGGTTATGAAAAACCATAGATCTTTATGTCTCTATTGCTGGTGCTATGAAATTATAAAGTCGGTGTTTGTTGTCTCCTTTGATGGATCAAGGACACGATGGAAATGCAATCATTGTTTCTGGCAATGTGCAATTTGGGATTTCTACAATGATATTCATTTGACCGCTGCTCACTGGTCAATTGAAGATTAGAGATGAAGTATTTTCGTGTGTTTATAAGTTGTTTATAAGTTATGCCATGCACCGTTATGTACTTTTCTAGTAAAATATATTTCCCTTAACTTAATCTATAGTTTTTATTTATTTTAATTTCACTAAACATAATGCAAATGAATAACTATTTTTATATGTCTTGGATTAACTATAATCAAAGTTGAATCAATATGTTATCACTAAATATATCAATAACATATTGCAAATGTACAGGATACAATCAAAATTAGTTGAAGGTTTACTAAGTTGTATAATTATTACAAGTGTGAATTAGTTCAACTTAGATTACAGTTACACTTACACCAAGTTATATAATTACACAAAATTTCGGTAATGTTTCTGAAGTTATGGACACTGGAGATCTGAATTTTATGATTCGGGTCTGGATATGGTCCGTGAAATACCCCTGGTTGCCTTGTAATTATTCGAGTTTCTTTCGGTGTTCTTGTCTTTTACTAATTTTCCTATTTAAATAAAGATTTATTCGATTTATTTGGGGGTGAATTTTGGGCAGGAGTATTTGGAAACAAAAATTTTCGGACAGGGGTACTGGAACATTTGACTCTAAATAGTCTAATCTAATTTTATATGTGAAATAAAACAAAAATAAAAAGATTAAATTTAAATATTTTCTATGTTTATAAGAAATGCGAAATTTCTCCTATATTTTAAATAGTTAATATATAATTATTTATTAAAATTAATTAATGTATTGACCCGTGGTTCACCCGTGATTGATCCAGTAACCCAGTGATCCGTAAAGTGTCCGGTTCAGTGTCCGGATCGGGTTTAAAAACATTGGTTAAAACACTATGGGATTAATCTTAGCTACAACTCCATTTTAAGGTCTAGCTTGGGAAAAATCTCATTAAGTCAATGTGAGAATGTTATTATACCTTTTTGTTTTTTACAAAACGTAGTTTATTAGAATGATGTCTTACATTGACTCCAAAGTTTGTGGAAAGAAAGAACCGTGAGGAATAGTTAAAACCACCACCGTGAGGAAAGAAAGACTATTGCCTCTATGGCAAGGGAGTTGCATCAACAGCTTTCCTCTTCATATTCATGGTCCCTTTGTCTGATTTTCTGCCACCACCACCGCTACCTCTACCAGCATCAGGGCCTTCACCACAGGTACCACACGCGGCAGGACCAAAACCATAGCCAAGGCTTGTGCCACTTCCAAATCTTCTGCCCCTATTAATATTAATCACAGTGGGATTAATCTCAGGCATAAGTAACTCCATGTTCAAGGTCTAGACTATATGTGCATTTGGTTAGAACTTTATTACTCATCAGATATTCAGATGGGTGAGATAATTATTACTTATCTGCCTAGGTTTGCGTAAACAAGGTTTTACCTTAAGTCAGGGCCTGGGCCGTCTGGCACATAAGTCTTGACTATGTGGTCACGGTGTGGCTTCCTCATCATAGGGAAGGGATCCAGATGTAGCCTGTGCGCAAAGGTCGAACTGAAGCATATCAAGAGAACAATAGGCCCAAGGCATTTTCCCTTGTGTTCCATATTTTTTCTTCTTGTAGAGCTGAATGTGTTTGATTGAAGATCACTCAATTTTTATACGTGGGAGATTGATTCTACCTGAAAATGTGCATAGAAAATTGGCTCAAAGAGTCATGAGCATCACATGATCAAGTAGGGAGATTTACTCGGTAGCAACAAACCATATGTGAAAACAACTTTCAAGATTCTGTTGCATATGTGGAACATGATCAAGAATTGTTTTTTTTTTTTGGTCAAGAAAGAAAGAAAATTGTTTTGAAACCGAACAAGAAAGTGCTTTTCAAATAGACGCTATTGAGGATTTTGAGTAATTGATAAGAAACTCCGTTCGATCAGTTGTTGCTAAATTGCAAATGTTATTATATCAATGATTTAAAGAACTTTTAAAAGCAGATTTTACAGACAGCGTACTTTTGCATGCTAGTAGGGACTTTCCTTGTATTTTGCATGCTAAAAATACGTACTCATTCAAAAATAAGATGTAGATATATTATGTTTGTCGTAGATCAAACAAAATTCTTCACTACAGAGTCGTTTTTAAAATTGAAATTTTAATAAAATAATAATAATGTAGAACAATAAAATATGTAACGGTGCTAAATATATTTGGTTTAACATGCACAAATATACTCTCCATCATAAAGATGCACTAATGTTCTCCATCACAAAGATAGTGACTTAAACGGGTTATTTAACTCATAAATTTAACCAAAGCCATGACAACTAATTTAACGGTTCTAACCCACGAAAGCTGATATTGTTTTAAAACTAATTTTAGTTTTGTTAGAAACTGTGTGACCAATTAAATTTTAAAATTATATCTTTAAAAATAAATTTTAGTAGAAAATAAGTTTCTTAAACTTTGTCCACTAATCCAAAATATCATATAGTTAAAAAAAGAATGGAGTATTATACTACTCCATTAGATTACAAAAGATAAGTGTAAGTTAACTCTCGTTGTCCAGGAATTAGTTTCAAATAAATAACAGGGAAAAAACTATATTATAGAACAAGGACAAGAGTTCATGTATAACAACTTGAAAGCAAGATACGGATTTTGAGGGCTAAGACATGTTTCTTTCGCGCATTAAAGATTCAATCTTTTCGACATCTTCGGGTGTATCAACTCCATGCGCTTCATGGTCCACCTTTATAACCTGTGACAACCAAACATTTCAACCTTGAATTACAAGTTTGTTCTTTGTTTACTTTTTAGGTGAAAGAGTTTTATCAAAATAGTGGGAAAGGGTTATGTAACCTTCATCTTGTAGCCATTCTCAAGGACTTTAAGCTGCTCTAGATCCTCTTCTAGCTGCAATGGCGTTGGTTGAAGCTCCGAATATACTTTCAGAAACTTCGAATCAAAGCTCTGAGGCGAAACAAACGTATCGAGATTAACTAGATCATAATAGAAGTGGATCACATATATAATGTGAGAAACTGAGTGGTCAATACCTGAATTCCAAGATGAAGCATATACGGGAAATCTGGATTGACTCCACCACTCCTAAACCGCCAAAAAAAAAAGAAGTGATTACTTGTTACATATATAATACACAACCTATACTATTAATGTACACAGAGAAGACAAAAACATAAGTGGTAACTTGGTTAATTGTAACAATACACAGAAAACAATTAAAAAGGAATTACTTGTTAAAAGGAATCAAGCCCCTGGAGAAATAGATAGCATAGCCACGGTTGTTCACAACACATTTGACTCGGTTAGGATCAAGCCCGTCTTCTGGTTTCAATGATGTCACCGCTGTGCTGAACACTGCATCAGGTGCTACCTACCATAGGAACACTATTTAATAGCCTTTTTAAGAAAACAAAAATAAACGAATTGAGGAGGAAAATAATATTTATTAAGGAGGACCTGAAGTGCTTTGACAACACCATCTATAATCTCAGGCTCAATGAGTGGTTCATCACCTTCAATGTTAACAACCACATCATACTCCTTCTCCAGCTTCTCTAGTGCTTCGTTGCAGCGTTCAGTGCCTATCCAAATGATAAAAGAGCTTAAGGCAGGGAGGGAGGGAATTATATTCACCAAAAGAAAAAGAAACGAAAATGATATATACAGACCATTTCTGCAAGACTCTGAAGTCATGATGACATCAGCACCGAATCCACGACAGCAATCAGCGATCCTTTCATCATCCGTGGCCACAACTGAAAGAAACAAGTTAAGGATCATAGAAGAGATGTTCATAAAGTAGACATATCTCAATAGAGATGTGAGCTACATTACCAACGTGATCAAGCGTAGAAGCTAACTTGGACCTCTCCCAAGTTCTCTATTTGAAAATAAGAACAGATCCCAGATTAAGGCAGTAAGTAACTAGGTCATCAGATCCATCACAGAGATTCATACTATCGTATATAAAGGAGGAACCTGGATCATGGGCTTGCCGAGGATTTGCACGAGAGGCTTACCCTCGAATCGAGAGGAAGCATAACGGGCGGGTATGATCCCCACGACCCGGCTCCGGAATTTCCTGCATCGACCGAGATACGCATGTGCGCCTATCGCCGCAGCAATTGCTGTTCCAGCCAAGATCCCGTGAACAATCCATGCTTTCTGAGAAGACGAAGACGATGAAGAACAAAGTGCCATTCTTCACTTTGCTTCGGTGAGACTTGTTAGTGAAGAGACAGAGTGTTTGTTCTGTTCAAAAGGACCGGTGACCGAGCCAGTGAGAAATGAACCGGTTTAATTAGATTCAATTTGCTAATAACTCTACTTTGGAATTTAATTCGGAAAACAATTGTAAATAAAACTATAGTAATAAATTATGAACCTCTAGTAATAAACCTCTAATAATAATCCCAGAGGTTCACCAACCAATAGAATTTCGTTGTTTTATATTCAATATCTTTAAAAAAAAAGAAATAAAATATTATTGAGTTATATTGTGTTTTTAAAATAAATAATAATAATAATAATAATATTAGTTACAAACAAAAAAACTTTTTAAAAATAATATTTTTAACACTGTGAACAAAACGCTAAATTCTAAACCCTAATCTTAAACCCTTGGATAACCCTAAATTCTTGGATAATCCTAAATCCTTGGATAAATCTATGATTTAAATATTTTTGATACTGACAGCAAAACACTAAACCCTAAATCTTAAACCCTAAACCTTTAAGTAAACTCTAAACCCTTGGATTAATCATAAATTTTATAGTACAAGATTAGTCTAAGGGTTGAAGATTTACACAATGGTTTAGTATTTAGGATTTAGGGTTTAAGATTTAGAGTTTAGGGTCTAGTGTTTTGCTGGTGGTAATAAAAATATTTGTTTAAAACGTTTTTTATATATAAGTACTATTATTTTTTATTTATTTTTATCTTTTAATTTTAAAAACATAATTTAATTTAATTTTATAATATTTTTTCTTTTTAAAAAATATATAATATAAAACAATGAAATTCTATTGGTTGGTGAACCTAAAGGTTCACCCCTAAGGTGAACCCAAGAATTTCTCATAAATTATTCAAATAACAAATGAAAAGGAAAAAGAGCTGCACCCAAAAATAAAAATAACATTTTGTAATTAAAAATGTCGAAAATAACTGAGTTTCTTATAAATCAAATTTTCGAAAAAGTTCAATACTGTTGTTTTCAAAACCATAACCCTTCAGTAATCGATCACATTAAAGTCAGTGTTTATCTTCCTAATTATTTCGGATAAATTCATATAACTTTTAAATTCTGAAAAAAAAACTTTTTCTCTCTAAAAGTTTTATTTTAACAAAGATCAGCTCCAGTAGCCGGTGGAGCTCATGAAATATTTGGGGGTGTCATTCAGTTACAGGTTTTTTTTTGTCAACTGAATTCAGTTACAGGGTTTTATTTATGTTTTTTCCAGTAAAATGACAAATTTTATATAATATTTTTAACAGAACTATAGAAACTACTAGAACAGAGAATTGAAACTAAACACATAACTAGGAGTGAATGTTCATATTTTAGGATTTTTTTTTTCCGAAAAGGGCATATATATTATGATTTTTGTTACCACATTCATAAGCCTCCTTCGAGTTTTTTAAAATTTTGGATCAAATTGAATTAGATTTTTGAATTTGGTTTGGATAAAAATTACCTAATATTCAAAATCATTCAAAAAACACTATCCAAATGTATTCAAAAATTGGGGAAAAAGCTACCTAAAATTCAGATACTAGTTTAGACTACAGTTCATATCGAATATTACCTAATATCTATCGTCTTTGACAGTTAAGAGAATAGCAAACAAACTAGTACCTGTAAAGGATTGTTTTGTTTTGATTTGAAATATCTTAACTTTGCAACCAGTACCTGTAAAGGATTATTTTGTTTTGATTTGAAATCTCTGAACTTTGCAAATCAAAAATCGTTAACGTAAAAATTAAAACCTAAATAAATAATTATAAACCACTTGTTCACACATAGTAAAGATTAAAAAAAAAATCGTGATTTCCTAGTATCCTACTCCGTCCGTGTTAGAAGAGACTAGAGAGGCAGCGTCCAATATTCGCGGGAATTTCTTTGATGTAATCACCAAATAACCAACAACAAGAAAACAACAAATATAAACAATCAACCTGTTGACCGAAATTTTGAAAAAATAATTAAAATATAAACGTAATCAATCAAATCCAAATGCTAACAATCTAAAAAAAAAAAAAAAAAAAAAAGTCAACAAACAATGAGAATTACTTCTCAGCTTCTAAAATAAAAATCATACGAAGATGAGTTCTTTCTACTACTCCGAGATAATTAAAATAACACGAAAAAATGGACTTGGCTCACCTCGATGATATGCTTCTCTTACAGTTACTCTCGGTGTTAGCATTAACCACAGGTGGTGGTTTCAGTTTATCTTCAAGCTCCTTGACTCCTAACTTAACCAACTCTTCCACAACTGTCTTCATAAAGACAGCCACATCGGTCCTAAACTTCATGGACCCGCCCTCACTACTTTCTTCAATGTCTTGGACACCACCTTTAACTATGGAACCAAGTGGAGCTCCGTCTATATAAGCATTGGCAGCTTTCACTAGATCGTGAGCCCGCTCAAAGTAATGGCTGCGAACAAACTCTTCAAAGTGCTGCACATAAACCACAACCACAGTTTCATATAACAAGCCAATGGCAAAAAAAAAAAAAGAAGTTTGACCAGATGTTTTTACCTTGGGTGGTTTTCTCATTCTGTAAACCATCGTCCTTAACGATAATATGAACACGTTCTCACTGTAAACTTTGGAATGAGCCTCGCCTGATTTAGTCCCCTTGGTTCCACCGTAGGCAGGTTCGTTGAAGTACGGCTTTTGATTCAAGATGAGTGCTTGAATTGAGACGAGAAGCTGTAACATTGTGGACTCCTGTGGGAGCCATTTCTCTCTAGTATTACCTGTTGGGAATGTCCTAAAATCATTTGTACTTACTCTAGTAGAAGTCGTAGTGTCGCGGTTTGACAATCATATAAAATTAGGTGATTATAATGTTTTGCTAGAAACCGCTTATAATCTATGAATTAAGAATTCATTACTAATTTTATATGATCCTACAGGGTCACACACCTAAGCAAATTGGATCATAAAATATATGTGTNGTGCGTGTGGATACCGGTAGAGGCACGACGTTTGGAGTGCTTGAAATCTCGATTTGGTTTATTCATCCTTCCGCTGCGAATAACCAGGTATATCCAAAACTCTAAGATCTAGATTTATTTCAGTATTTGCATGAGATCTAGGCAAATAGAATTCATAAGTTGTTTTATAAATCGTTATAAACCGGTATGAATTCCTACAGTGGTATCAGAGCCTACTTGTTTAATACTGAAATTTGATCTTGTTTAATCTAATTATTTAAAATAGATACCTAATTCTAATAATTAGTTGATTTGAAATTGATGTATTGGATATGAACCCTAATTTGATTATGGTATTGATCGATTTCTAAGACCATATATTTGTAATTATTAGATAAACATGTACCTATTGATTTATATGCTAAGGAATATTGATTTTAGGAAAATTCAATATTAAATATTAGCACGGCATGAATGAGATAAGTATGTTTGTTTGATTCGATCATTCGATACTTATACAATTAATAGATTCCTTGTATATGGTTTATATTATACATTCGTTGCTTGTGGTATGCTTATTAAATAAATGGCCAGAAAAGCATTATCGTAATGTTGTGACTGCAAGTTTTTAAAAAAAAAAGAAAAAAAAATTAATAGAAGTATTATAGGCATGCATGTGAAACCAATTAAATCTTATACCGGCTGGTTCAGTTTTATCGGTTGGTAATTTGGTTTGGTTCAGTCGAACACATGTTTAATTTTTCATTTAACTGGAATACTAATATGATTAGATTCTTAAGGTTGAGTTAAGATTAACTATGTAAAATAATTAATGGTTTTAATTAGATTAAAATTACTTATTTATAATCCAATTAAAATACATATAAGATATGTATTAGTTATATTTATATTTTATATATTAGATATAAATTTTAAATATAAAAGTAAATTGGATTAAAATTTGTTCCTCAATTAATTTCAAGTATTTGGATGTCTACCCAATTTTATCAACCATCAAGGCTCGTTTCGTTGTAAGATGGGCTTGCCAAAGCAAGG